GGAATGACATTTTGCAGATCATGAATGTGGGGGGGGGGGGGAATAAATAATAAATAAAATGTTAAGCAATGCGTCGATTGGAGTGATTTATTCGGGATTACATGGCTGTTGATGCATTTGGTAGAGATTCACTGATTAAAAAGTTTTTGTTTCGAAGTTGGAAGTTGGTATGAGGAGATGGAAGTGGGTGTTGGGGAGTTTAATCATTATTTTTCTCTGTGATAGGTTATTGCAGCAGATTAGATGTTAATGTTAAGTATTGCCTGTTTTATGCTATTCACGTTTATATATATTTGTTTTGGTTTTATTTTTGTAGAATTATGACACCTTTTTGGGGAGAATATTTTTCCAGTTAAAGTTCTTGGTATAAATAACAATTCCTTTTTGGAACTACATATTCAGCGCTGTTTTGGTATAGGTTATATATACGCCGCCGGCACTATCACGGAAGATTTTAATTACCTTAATGGACGTCAGTAATGATGGTCTCAAATAGCTAAAAAAAAACGTGTAGGCCTATTTGAGATTTCTTTGGTACGGTAAATGTTATTGAATTAAAAAAAATAGTTAATGGTGCTGGATAACTACAGGTGCGTGTGAATGAATGTTGTTAGGACGATAACAGTAAAGATAAATAAATTGATGAACTGCAGTGTTTTGAATAAAATACTTCTGTTTTGAAAGCTGATGATACGAAGTAATTTTATATTGTTTCTAACGCAAGAGTGATATAAGATAATGCTACACGAAAAGTTTTTTTTTATCATTAAACATCGCCATTTCCTACTTCGATGTTTACTTATTGCGAGGAAAAGGAGCCTCCTTAAGGAAAGCAACCGGAGATAGTGAAGGAGGGAAGGAGATACCCTTCGCAGGTCGTGGCATCCTGGGGTGGAAGTGAAATCCTATCTCATCATATGAATAATCTCGTTAGCCTCACGAACGCATGGTGCAACATCATGACGTCAGTAGATGAGGCAGGTTCATGGATATGCATGATGGACCCAGTGTACTCTCTCCTCTGCTCCTGCGATGCTGCGGGATATATTTTGTCTTGGGGGGGAAACTGCTGGATGAGCTATAATTTTGTGGTTGTCAAAATTAGCGAGTAACTTTTATCGGATTCCCAGGCTTCGGTAGTTTGTGCCTATGATTAAATTGAAACTCAAAAAAAATTATCCGGCTTATATATCTCCGTAAAGTTTTATTTTTTCAGAACTCCTACAGTATTGATGTTTTTGTGTAAGAATATGTGTATCAGTGACCAACTACTCATTAAAAGTGGCCTGTATGTTGGACCTTTTATATAATAGGAATAAGAGAATTGACACACCACTCAAGCTCTTCTATATTCGCCAACGTTGGCAACATTCATTAAGTGTGCTTGTACTGAAACGTGGGTTCTGAGGTCCGTAGAGTTCAAACACGGGGAGTTCAGCCTCTCGGCACCCGAGATCGACCAATAAACAAGCGGATGTTATTTCCGCGATTCGCGTCAGGGACTTGGGATGCGAGGGCAGAGCCTGAAGAAGGGACTCGAAAGAAGGACGCCATCCACAGGGCCCGGGATGTGCCCTGAGCGAGGGGTCAGGAGGCGTGGACGTGACGTAGAGGATCACTCCACGAGTGCGTTGCCGGGCGACGAGGCACGAGGGGCGGCCGCGGCACTCGGTTGATGAGGGCCGGGGCGGACCGGCGCTCGGATCGCCTTTTCAAAAAGTATTCCTAACTCTTTTTCTCCTTTTGCCTCGCCTTGCTCTTTCGTTATCACTTTCTGTTAGGTTTTTGCGCCGCTTCCTTTTTTATCTATCTATATATATTTTTTAGGAATCCTTACTTCATATTGATATGTATCTTCACACCAATATTATTTTCACATGTTCTTCTTCATGTTATCTCAGTTAATTCGCATTTTCTTCTTCATGTTTATGGTGTTTATAATTTTTTTCCTCATTTACTTCACATATTCTTCGTGTTTATGGTGCTCATCATTTTTCTCATTTTGCTCTACATATTCTTCTTCATATCTGTAAGGAAGGAGGGGGTGGGGGTGGATAGGGAGGCCAAAGGGAGAAGGGCGAAGGGGAAGCGAAGGGAGGACGTGGGGAGGAGAGGAGGCTAGAGAGGGAGGAAATGTGGCAGCGATAGACGCGGTCTTGGATAGAGGAAATGGATTGTTGAGGAGTTGGTTGAGGGGGGGTGGTAGTCGTGTGAAGAAGACACTTGCTAAACAGGGTGGATAGGAGAAGAGATAGCAGGGCGGATAGAGGGGATAGGAGAGAGGGATAGGTTCGATTTCAGGAGGAAGAGGCTGGCTGAGAAGTTAGGGAGGAGGGAAGGGCATGACTTAGGGACGGGGGGGGGGGGGAGGAGAGAGGAAAGCTGATTAAAAGGGGGAGGGGGAGGAGAAGGGGAAGGGGAAGGAAAGAGAGGGCGAGGGAGGGAGGATGGATGGAATGTATTGGTGTGATTGCTGGAAAGGGTAAGGGCAGAATTGTTG